TGAGGATATTTCTGCTGACAAAAAGCAGAGAAGGATGGTCTGACAACACGGTGGAAGGAAACTAATGCTGGCTTCTTTACTGCTGCGGGTAATGTGGGAGACACAAAAAATAATTTCTCTGACTGTATGTGCAGATGGCCTGTGCACGATGTGTAAAAAGCAGGTGGGAGTCCGATGTTGAAAAAACGACTGACGGGCTGAGAAACTTTTGAAACCTTTTAGCAGATCTCAATAAAAGTGATGGTAAAACACATTACCAACTCCAGAACTGAGGGCTCTGCTAATGGTCAACATTGAGAGGATATATTAAATGATCTTTTAGGTCAGTGGTACCCAACCTATTACGCACAACTGACTGGATCTATGTGAGACAAATTTTAAATAGACCAGCAGCAGATGTGTGTTTGTCTTTGTGTGTGCAGTGAGCAATACTACACAATGTGACCCAAATAGTTTAACTGCTACCATTTAGGGACAGAGATGTGTAGTGGACTTGGTCACATGGAGTCACTGCTCTCTTCTGGTCAGTGGTCATGTGACATGAATGGATCTGTCCAATTTTATAGCTGGGGTGTTACAGCACAAAAGCTTTAATTATACTAAAAGATGTGGAAGTGACACATGAAATATGAAGTATCATGAAGTGTCAATACGTTATGAGAGTAATTGACACTCAATCGGTACTCGTGTGATTGACACTCCCATCATTATATATAACTATTACCTGATTAAGGGCATCATATACAATTTAATTAATATTATGAAATATTATGTAAATAGAAATAGATTTTAATAAATGTACAATATATAATATAATCTGTTGCAATGGACCAATCATTGAAGAAGAACTTTGGGGGTTTCTGACAGTCATTCAGCTCTCCAGTTTGTTTGTTTTTTGAAAATCATTTGCTCTAGACTTTAGTTTTAGGGCTAACTGGTCCATGGGGGAAAAAAAATTAAAATTAAATTTCAAAATAAAACCTTAAATGCTGGTAATGGCCCCCAGCCTGGTGTTTGGGGAACCCCAGCTCTAGAGCAGGCAGGAAGTTAAGCTTCCTGAGTCTGTGGTGAATGAAACTGCCCTTGAGCCTGCTAGTTTTGGCCTGGAGACTCCGCGGTCTCTGCTCTGACGGCAGCAGGCTGACAAGGCTGTGAGATGGGTGGGTGGGGTCACTTGGCATCCTGATGGCTTTGGGGGTGAGGTCGGTGTTGTAGCTATCCAGACTGGAAGGGAGAGAAGGGAGAACATTGTTCATCAAGGCTCAGTGTGCCCTCTGCAGTTGTTTTATTTATTGATTGATTCATCTTCTACAGTACACATTAACCCCACTCAGGGTCGCAGGGGTCTCAACTCCCATCTGCCATCAGGCAGGGGCAGGGTTTACCAACAGATCTATAATGGTCTATTGCAGACTTACATATTACCACCTCTATTTACTGAATATTCCCTACCTAAGCTACAGCAATAAACACATTATTTATTTTCCTCACTTGCATTTAAACCCATTTTCATTTAGTCAAAATGTGTTATTTTTATGATGGAGTAAATTAATTTAATCCTTCACTCTTCCATGTAACCTGTAGCTAAATATGGTTGATAAATTCCACTTCTAATCGACTCCTGCATTATGCAAAGCAATCACACTTTTGCATAAAATCTCTGGAACACACTGTAGCCGAGTTCCGTCTCAATGTAAAATCTTCAGTAGTTTTACCTGCCAACTCTGCATGCTTTAACCATGTTCCATAAGAAATTTGGAGAGACTTTAGGATCGATCAACGTGTTTATACATTTCGTAAGTTGTGACACTGTATTTAGAATAGAGCTAATAATCAAAAATACAAATTCTCTTTTGACTTATTTATGAGAAGAATATGTGAGAGGTTATGTTTTATACAGCATTGCAGTGTAGGCCACAGTATTCACAGATTTGATGACAGTAATTACCTGTGACAGGCAGCCTTATTATCTCTTCCAGAGAGCCTGGCAAGAGGTTTTCTGGAACTGCAGTTTGGATTCTCATTAACCCCTGTCACCCTTTTTGACAGGAAGGAAAGGTAGTAGAGGACCAACATCATTTGGATTGCACGTTGACATTTTACACAAAACAAGCCAATTTTTGGTATTGAGCATGTGTCAAGCATATGTACCCATATATACGAAGAACATATATATATATATATACATATATATATATATATCCCATATGATCCCATTGATGGGTTAGCAGCAGATGCTGTTAGATGCTGCAGATGCTGTTAGCAGCAGATGCAGGAGTGCTGACCGCTACACTATGGAACCAATAATATATATATATATATATATATATACACTCCCATCATTATATATAACTATTACCTGATTAAGGGCATCATATACAATTTAATTAATATTATGAAATATTATGTAAATAGAAATAGATTTTAATAAATGTACAATATATAATATAATCTGTTGCAATGGACCAATCATTGAAGAAGAACTTTGGGGGTTTCTGACAGTCATTCAGCTCTCCAGTTTGTTTGTTTTTTGAAAATCATTTGCTCTAGACTTTAGTTTTAGGGCTAACTGGTCCATGGGGGAAAAAAAATTAAAATTAAATTTCAAAATAAAACCTTAAATGCTGGTAATGGCCCCCAGCCTGGTGTTTGGGGAACCCCAGCTCTAGAGCAGGCAGGAAGTTAAGCTTCCTGAGTCTGTGGTGAATGAAACTGCCCTTGAGCCTGCTAGTTTTGGCCTGGAGACTCCGCGGTCTCTGCTCTGACGGCAGCAGGCTGACAAGGCTGTGAGATGGGTGGGTGGGGTCACTTGGCATCCTGATGGCTTTGGGGGTGAGGTCGGTGTTGTAGCTATCCAGACTGGAAGGGAGAGAAGGGAGAACATTGTTCATCAAGGCTCAGTGTGCCCTCTGCAGTTGTTTTATTTATTGATTGATTCATCTTCTACAGTACACATTAACCCCACTCAGGGTCGCAGGGGTCTCAACTCCCATCTGCCATCAGGCAGGGGCAGGGTTTACCAACAGATCTATAATGGTCTATTGCAGACTTACATATTACCACCTCTATTTACTGAATATTCCCTACCTAAGCTACAGCAATAAACACATTATTTATTTTCCTCACTTGCATTTAAACCCATTTTCATTTAGTCAAAATGTGTTATTTTTATGATGGAGTAAATTAATTTAATCCTTCACTCTTCCATGTAACCTGTAGCTAAATATGGTTGATAAATTCCACTTCTAATCGACTCCTGCATTATGCAAAGCAATCACACTTTTGCATAAAATCTCTGGAACACACTGTAGCCGAGTTCCGTCTCAATGTAAAATCTTCAGTAGTTTTACCTGCCAACTCTGCATGCTTTAACCATGTTCCATAAGAAATTTGGAGAGACTTTAGGATCGATCAACGTGTTTATACATTTCGTAAGTTGTGACACTGTATTTAGAATAGAGCTAATAATCAAAAATACAAATTCTCTTTTGACTTATTTATGAGAAGAATATGTGAGAGGTTATGTTTTATACAGCATTGCAGTGTAGGCCACAGTATTCACAGATTTGATGACAGTAATTACCTGTGACAGGCAGCCTTATTATCTCTTCCAGAGAGCCTGGCAAGAGGTTTTCTGGAACTGCAGTTTGGATTCTCATTAACCCCTGTCACCCTTTTTGACAGGAAGGAAAGGTAGTAGAGGACCAACATCATTTGGATTGCACGTTGACATTTTACACAAAACAAGCCAATTTTTGGTATTGAGCATGTGTCAAGCATATGTACCCATATATACGAAGAACATATATATATATATATATACATATATATATATATATCCCATATGATCCCATTGATGGGTTAGCAGCAGATGCTGTTAGATGCTGCAGATGCTGTTAGCAGCAGATGCAGGAGTGCTGACCGCTACACTATGGAACCAATAATATATATATATATATATATATATACATATATATCAGTGGTCAGACAGCAGGCGACATGGAGCATGCTTTCGTAAAAACAGCAGATATGAATATGTCACAGAATGTGTCGAGTGCTAAGGTAAACGTGCACCTGGTGTAGTATCTGAATATAGAAAACCTGGAAATTTATAGAGAATCAGAACATCACTCTCAAAAAAAAAATCAATGACCAGAGAACAAGCCCTGTGACCTTACTACACAGGTCAAGGAGATTGGCTGATCTGTGGAGTAACGAATGGATGACCGTGGCCCTACGACCTTGTCCTTAAATTGTGCTTTCTGCAATTATATGTTGTCATATACGGGTGTGGGTTTTTTTTTTTTTTCAGTTTATCTTGAACGCTAGCATACAGAAAATGTGTTGAATGAAACACTAAAACATTTGGGGAGTTCTTAGTAAAGACACAAATTTAACTCTTTAGTGTTTTTCTGATTAATATAATTGATGTTGATGTTGCTTCACAGCCATCTTCAAAAGACATGTGGCCCATAAGTTACTGATAGTCAGCATCTGGCTGGTTTAAAAAAGTGGACCAACATTTATTTGAAAAAACTAAACACAATGGTTGCAAACAGGAAAAATGTATCAACATTACCTTGGAAACAAAGCAGAGGGACTGAAGGACCACATGTGCCTCTGGAGCCACATGTTAAGACCCCTGCATTAGACAAAGTTGATATGCTGAGAACAAGTCAGAAATATATTAAGCTCAGTGAGATTTGTAGAAGATGCTTAACCCGTCAAATATGTATATATAAAAATCTGCTTGAAGCTAAGATGAGAAATAATTAGACATTACATTATTTTATTCTAATTCCTATTCTATTTTATGACAATTACATAATGTCACATTAGGAAAAATGCGTTTCTTTAAAAACAATTTCACCCCTGCTGCTTTCATTGGGACACAGTTTCTCTAGCTCTTTTATTATTATTATTATTTCTTTAGGTTATTTTTGGTGTTGCAATGGTTGGTAATCATTACATATAACAATGTTGCCTTCTGTTAGTTGTTAACGAAATCCATGTCAGGCACAATAATCAGCAACAGCTTTTCCATTATTGCAAGGCCTGAAATGTAGGATTCCTGTTGCTGATGGTGACTGTTAAGTATCCGTGGTTCCACGTTGATGTGCTAGTTTAAGGAGATGATAATAGAGGCACAGCTCTTTGAACAGATAAAACAGCATGGGATACAACAGCCTCAGAGTGCATCCGTTTTCTTCCCAAATGCATCCTCAAAGCGCATCAAACCTTTTAAGAAGTATTTGCAAATTAAATATGTCGTTGATGATCAAGTGTTGCATTGTTTCTAGCCATTTGTATTTACTTGGCATGTTCACAGACTCCACTCTTAATCTACCATTGTATTACTAAATTCTTCTATCTCTACCACTGATTATTATACCTAACACTCTAAGCAAAGACACTTCTCAGTTATTACACATTTAACAGTAGTAGTTTATGTGTGTGGATCCTTATACTTATGATTGAGTATTCAAAAATCGTACACCTTCAAGCATTAATTCTGAGTGTAATCAGTGGTTAATTATTTCTATATTTCCCCAGTTCCTTCCTACTGTTCTTCGGACATTGATATATGCTTGTGTGATTGTTTGCTTTCCTCTTTTGGGCTTCAGTGATTTTGCTGTATTTCTTTTCTCGTCTTATTTTGTCTTTTCACATGCAGCATAGCAAAACCACTATGCTATGCTACATTGAACAAACCACAAATTGTATCAGTGTCCATATTATTTTGTTTATTTTTCAGGACAGCACAACGCTATACTAGGGCATTAACAAAAACAAAATAAAAAAAACAAAAAACAAACACACACACAAAAAACAAACAAACAAACAAACAAACAAACAAACAAAAAAACGTCGACGACCACTGGGAGGAGTCGAGAAGTTTTTTTTTCTTCCGCGTGGGCACTAACGCACGAGAGAGGCCTCTTTGGCCTACGTCGATATTGTACCACGACTAAACCAGTAGTCATAATCACTCCATAAAGTGATAGATAACGTGTCCCTGAGCGTAAGAAAATAAATAAAAAACTCGCCAAGCCACCTGCCGTTGACAACAAGTGCTCTGAAGGATAAGTGTGCCCCAGTTGCGCATTAAACCAGAACTTTAAATTGACGGTGCTGTGGAACTCCACTTCCGTCATGCTGGAGCGGATACGTGAGCAGAGGAACCCCCCGCGGTTTGTCCCGGCAGGTGAAACTGCCACTTTCACTGGGAGCTGACAGGACAACTGATTGCCGTGTTATCTGCATTAGCAAAGGCTACGGGAGTCGTTTATGGTGAGTTACGTGCTCATTGTTGGACTTGTGTGTCTGTGTAGTTCTTCCTCTGTCAACGGTATGACGCAATTAAACTTGTCGTCGACTCGACGTCGAGCCAAAGTGAGAAACCCCCCAAAAGACCCATTTTCGTTAATCTCGTTAAACCGTTTTTTTCACCTTACCTATGACCATTTTTTGTCAAAGAAGAAATGTAGGGACTAAATGAAGCCTTATTTTCTTTACCTTTGATATTTTTTGCATTTGTTTGATCAAATTATAGTGGCACCAAGATATGAAGTAATTCCTTGTGTTTGTAATTGTACTTGGCTATATACACCTATTTCTGGGTGTGTATGATATTCTTATGTTTTTATTTTCCACTTGTGAAGAATATATTTAAACATCTGACTATTCCTGAGAATTCTCGTAATCAATGCACCATATGTCTCATGTAAACAGTCAGATATCTGGTTTCTCGGAGACTGAGCAACTGTTATGCCTTCATTAAAATCCATCTCCCTTTGGCTCTATTTGTTGTCAGTCACAATTTCAAATATAAACAAACAGACAGACAGAAGGTGGGAGAGTGTAGTGTATGTGGTTGGAAAGAAATAACAACAAATCATAAGAAATTGCTGACCAGTGGAGGTTACACTGATAAGATAGGGAAAACAGGAGGAATTATGACCTGGCCAAATGTTTTTTGTTTTTTCCCCCTCCTTTTTCTCTGAGGGCTATGCTTTAGGAAAGCAGCCTGCGATATTTTCTTTACACAGTGACAGCTAGTAATAATGCTAGCACACACTGAACAGTTGTGAACAGGGAGGATAATAATGGCAGCCTTCACCCCTGTGTCTTAAATAGATTTTTCTTTTATTTCAAGGGAGTATATTTGAATGTTGCATTTCACACAGAATAACAACAAATGGAGTGAAGAAAAGGTAATAGATGCCTACACTATAAAACAGCTGCCAACTCTATCATGACTGCATTAGAAGGATATTGTCAATCACGCCAGGTCTGAGTTAAGGCTTTCCCTGCTTCACTTGTTCCATGTCATTCCTTAGTCAGGCTGCATTCGTGGGATGTGGAGCCCAGGGTTTATTTTTCCAAAACATAAGAGCAGAGATAAATCAGCCCATAACAACTATGGATGTGAGCAGCAATTTAATTTTTTTTTTCATGCCTGTCATGAAGACATTGGCTTTTACCATGGAAATGATTCTTTGATTAGACGATAAATTGGCTTTTTATCAAGTGACTGAACCACAGAACACATTTATCTTTTTTATACTCTCATTTTTCATTGCAGACATGAGAAGTAGAGATTTTATTAAGTAAGAGGTTATATCATTTTAGGGAATTATTTTAAGTAAATAACATATTTAGTATATAAAAAAGATAAATATATGTTCTCTAGTCTGCTTAATGTGGATAAAACCGAGCTTGCCTGAGTGCTGTGTCTTGTGTGTGGAATAAATTAAATTCAAAACCAATGACCAACTGGTCAATTAACTTCTTCAGTGATTATAACTACGTTTGTTTCAGTTCTTACCAACTGAGACATGTACATTTGTTAAAGGTAAGGACCTATTGGTATTTAGTATAACATAGTGTTTGTTGTGGAGAGCAGAGTTTCATTATCAGTAAACACAAACAAACTCTTCCCACCAAACTAATTTTTGTTACACTCTCCTTAGACTGCCGGTCTTACTGTATTTCTTTTCTTTAAAAAAAAAAAAAAAAAAGGCAAATTGGCTTGAAGAGGTAACTTGTTTTCCCATCATGTTTATTCACACAGAGTTTATCATGCAAGGTAATTAAAAATAGTAAATTTAAATGTTGCAATCTACTTTTGCCATTTTTGTTTTACAAAATTTATAGTAGGTAATTATTTTCAAGTCTGCTTGCATTTTCCTTTTGTAGAGCATGCAAATTTACCTAAAGAACATGACTAATCTGTTGCTCAATTAATTGCTCTAATAACTATTACTATACATTTATCCTAAATGTGTAGGTTAAAATTCTTAGTACGGATGGTTAAAATATATTTAACACTAAAATTAAATATTTATTGATTTATAGTGTACACTGACATGCGTAGAAATACATGCAAGTCTGGTTTCTTATGTCTGGTTTTTCAAAAGAAATGTATTTAATATCAGTTAAATGGGATAGTAGTTACGGCTAACAAACAATAAAAGGAAACACTGACAAAATTTTAAACTCATGCATTTTACAGCCAACTGCAGTAACAATTGATGTTATCTGACTGCAACAGGACAAAGCATCCAACTGTTAAAGTGTAGCTCTTGAACTTTTGGGAAAGTTCAGTTTTATCTATCAACAGGATTAACCTTCTAAAGACTTTAAAGGTGTAAGGAAGCTTTGAAGGGTGCCCAGCGTTCAAGGCTGAAGAGAATCAAAGAATTAAGTTGTGTTTTCAGCTGCTGACTGTGGAATGTGGTTACCACAACCTCTGTGAAAGTCCAATCTTTGGCTGGGTGGTTCAACATCGATTGGTGCTACATGTACAATATGTCCATTCACAAAGTGTCTGAGATTGAACACACCAGTGGCATATGATGGTGGCAGTAGAACCAAATCTTTGGCTTGTAGAGGGCAATGTTTAGCGCAAATGTTACTGTTGCATATAATGGTTCAGACAAAGGATTTCAAGCTGTTGGTGTCTGTGTTAGGCTTGATTCAAAAGGCTCTCAGGTGGTGGCACGTTCCTGTTGCTAAGTACTTGGAGCTGTTGATGTGGCATAACAGTATATTTAATCAGTAATTGATTACAGGGAGTGGTCAGTTTACGACATCCTCGACTTACGGTATTTCATGGTTATGTCGCCATGTAAAACAAATTCTGCACAGTCCTAGATTATGATATTACCAATGTGTTAGGGTTTTATGTGCAAATCATACAGAATTATACTGTATAGTATTGGTTGTAGGTCCAGCTGTTTTGGCTTTGTAAATTTATTTTAATTTTTTATTTATAGCACCCAAGATAATTTAATTGAGATTTTTTTTCTACTTTGGTAAAATGCATATTATGTCCTGAGCTGCAGTATTGACAAAAATGATGACTAAAGAAGCAAAGTTAGACAATACATCTATTGTCTCTCTATTTAAGTGAACTCTTAAAAACAAGACAATAATATGATCCTTTTTACTCTACTGTCCATATAACGGATGTGATGCTCATATATTTGCATGGGATAATAATGGAACTAAGGGTTAGGGAAACATTGCCTGGCAGTAGCCCTTCTCTGTTTTGTTAAGTCCTCTTGACCTTGCTGAGCTTGCTGTGTCAGACATTGGCAAATTGAATCATGGATTTGCTGTTGATGAAGAATTGATGATTTCAACAGGAAACTGTTAAGTGAATAGTGAATAAAGATAGAAAGAGTTATTTTTGAGTGAAGTGGCGAATGCATTGTCTGCACACTGGGGTTTGTAGATTATTTTATTAAAACAGACTATAACAAATATGGATTCTTTCATTTTCCTTGATGTAATTTATTTCAATTAGAGAATCTTTTTAAAGGCCTCTTAATCTAATAATGACTCATCGACTATTCAAAAAAAAAAGAGAAAAAAACGCCTGTTCAGCCTCAGAGACCAACATGATAAATTATGAAACCTTTTTTATATTATTTTTACTCATAATATAGATATTTCCATTGTATAAAGCCTACTTACAGATCTGCTGAAATGTGTGATATATGAATGTGTACCGCTTCCTTCTGAAAAGTCTATAGCCTATAGCTTCACAAAAGCATTTAAGGGATTATTGATCTGAAGAGGCTTCAAAGACGGTTGAGTGAGTCTGAAAGCTACCCCAAGAGACTCTCCGACACCAGGGTCCAACTCTTTACCCTTTCTCATTCAGGGTATTAGGAGGCTCAATGTTCCCACAGCAGTAATAGGTTCACCATTTATCATCTATCAACCTGATAACTGAAGCAGGTTAAAGAAAAATGCTTTGCTCTTTGCCAAGTGTGTTGAGCCACACTGGGACAGATAAGTGGTTACCCTTTTATGGTGTGTTTTTCAATGCATATGTATGTTTGTGTATGCGCTTACTTCAGATGAAGCAACATAAACATGTAGACCTGTAGCCCATCTCAAGGAAAGTGCTCCAGTGGCTAAAAGGATGATCAGGCTAGAGTGCTTTGTGGGTATATTTTACCGTGCAGAAGGATGCCTTTAAACACATTGCTCACCAAGGGAAGATGTTTATACCATGTTGCCTTTTAGCTGCAGTTGTTAGCTTGTGTTGACAGCCCCCAGACATTGAGTGGCAGACAGTGAGGGGTCAGATGTCAGTGCATTTTGCCGCACTCACTGTGTCAGCAGACTGTGACTGCCACACAGTGGCTGCCAGCCTGTCTGATTTTTAACCAGCCTCCCTATGTCCTAGGTTCCAAATGTTATCATTACTGTGAGAGGGTATGTCATCTTTTTCTTCCACTGGAGCATGGACACATTCATAGCAAACAAAGCAGTACAGTGGCATTCAGTGTAGTGTGAATGACAAGCTACTGTAACAGCCACAGCGACAAGGACTGGAGCACATAAAATGATTCAAATAATGACTCCCACAGTGTGTATAACAAATGTGGAATTATATGACTCAACCTTTGATGCCCCAGGGTTAAGGGAATGAGCTTACACATGGAGATGGGTTTTGTTGTGCAGTAGGAGAAATAAAGCTAAAATGCATAGAAAGGAGAAAAGGAGTGTGAAAACGAGAAAATATTACTCTTTCTGAGAATCAGGGTAACCAATACAAACCCTTTGGCAAGCCAATGTGGATTCATTCATTTCTGAATGTAACCTTAACCACTTCACTGGGAACCAGCATCACATTTATCTTTGTAAACACCAAAATTACAACTGGACAACTGAAGCTAAACAGACCAGTCAACCTCTATTGTAAGTAATAAAAATGTTACATTGATGTTTTGATCTTAAAGCCAACAATGACAGTAGAGCTCATTTACAGAGGA